TGGGTCCAGTGGGGATGGCTGGTTGAACCCAGAGGCTCCATCCTCCTTTGCTTCTTTAGCTGGCAGTTGTATTTTCTTTTTGTCACTGGCACTGGTCAGGTCTGAAGTAAAACTCAGTGTTAAGGTTACCTATAGGAAAGGGAGCAAACCTAGAGAGAACAAACTTGTGAGTTACAAATAGAGGGGTGTTGCTTTCAGGTTTACTGGGGGAGAGGGTGGCAGAAAGTAGCCTAGATAAAATTCTCTGGCTACCCTAGGCATTTTTTCTTTCCTATCCAGGGGTCAGATGGCACAATGTGGGGACTGAGGAGCTCACCCTGAGGGCCATGATGGCTTGCCCCGAGCCAAGGGCCGAAGACAACCCGCCCCGGGCAGAGGGCTGTGACGGCTCGCCCTGAGCCGAGGGCCGAAGACAGCCCATCCCGAGCAGGACAACACCCCCCATGGGCTGGCTGGTACAGTCCCCTCTAGTTGCCCCCACCCCAATCTGGTCCCCTCACCTGACTGAGGACTGTGTGGCCAGGGACAGCATCTCCAATTCTAGCACCACCACTTTTACCCCCCCCCCACTCCCCCATAAGTGGTCATACTATAATTTGAAGTAGGTGTCACTGCGCTCCCTCCCCCTTTATATATGGCAAAGGGAACCTTTAAATTGTGAACAGGCTCCCCCCAGGTCTAAACATCTTTTGGCAGAAGCATTCAACAGATCAAAATATGTGGTGCATTTAGAATGTCAGTCCTTTTGGACATGCTGCCACTGTTACGTGTTATCGAGTAGACAACTCACAATGACTTCCAACAATCCATTGTACAGGTGATCATCTTCTCTGGTTTTCCATGGAAACCCAAACCTGCAGGCAGCGGGGCACACGTCCCCCCCACGGGCGGTGGGGCACGCGTCGTATCTTTTGTGTGGGCGGCCGGCAGGTGCGCACCATCCCCCAGCACGGGCGACTGGCGGGCACTCACCATCTCCTGCGTGTCATCTCCCACGCGGGCGGCCGGTGGTCACTTGCCATCTCGTGTGCAGGCAGCCAGCGGGTGCACACCATCCTCCAGCGTGGGTGGCCAGCCTCACGCCATCTCACGCGCAGGCGTCAGGCAGGCGCATGCCATCCCCCCACACAGGCGGCTGCCGGGCGAGTGCCATCTCCGGCGCATCATCTCCCACACGGGTGGCTGGCGATCGCATTTCATCTCGTGCGCGGGAGGCCAGTGACCGCCCGCTTCCCCTGCTGCTGCCATCTTGGCTCCAAGAATTCTCCCCAGAACAAGTCCACT